CCGGTTGGAGCCACCAACCGGGACCAAAGGCCCCCTGACTGGGCTCGGCGCACAGGGTCACGTGGAGGAACATTGGTCCCGGTTCGTGTTTGAACCGGGACTAATGGGTGGAGGTATTAGTAACGACCCATTAGTCCCGGTTCATGAACCGGGACTAAAGGCCCTTACGAACCGGGACTATTAGGTGTTTTTCTACTAGTGTCTAAACCGACGTTGAAAGTACCTCTCTGCATAGCGAGGTCTTGGGGCTAAGTAGTTGCGCCACAATCGGTCGTCCGACTCTTTCCGTTCTCTCCATAGAAACCGACAGTCAAGAACCCAACCTCCGTACTTCAGCTTTCTTGTTCTTGTGCATCATCACAATCATAGCAATATCTTCGTCCTCGGTCAAATCAAATTCCTCATCCGAGGAGGAATCATCCTAATAGTTGGAATCGCAAGAACTCGTCTACAATACAAAATTATCTATCAAACTATAATTCTACAAATGCATGGGGAAAATGCAAACAATTTTTTTACTTCCGTAGATATTTTCGGCCGACAAGTCGTCGGTGGCTTGCAACTGTCGGGAGGGGGTGGGCAACGGCCACCAAAAGTTCTCCTCGACATGGGGAAGCCGGCTTTGCGTCCAGAACACGGAGCGTCGTTGGCGGCCAAAAGACACCTGACCTTTGCTCCGTGGGGCGGCCGGCTATGCAGCTCCAGCGGCCGTCAGGACACCAAGTAGGGGCAAAGTCGAACGGCCATACCTACTACGGTGGCCAATCGACGAGGCGGCCGCGACGCGGGCGGAGGCCAAATCGAGGTAGACGGTGGAGCGGCCACGGCTGCAGACGGTCGAAAGAATGGCGGCGGGATAGGTAACTTCAGGGCGAACAACGGAGCAGCGACAACCTCGAGCGACCGGAAGAGGGGCGACACGTGTAGGGAAGCAGGATTTTGGTTACCGCTCGAAACTTCGAGATTTACCATGGTTACTGCATATTTCGCTGCCCGTCGGTAAATGGGCATTTCGACCAAAAAAAAATCAATTTTTGAATCTTTTGAATTCAAACGCTCAATGTATAGTAAAGTATGGCAACAGTTGATAGCACGCGTGTAGACAACGTTTCGGTAAAAATATAGATTCGGTGGAACGTTGTACACCATTGTTTACCTTTATGATAAATATAGATTCAAGTGCTATCTATATCTATTTTGAAAGATTTTAAATTTTAAATTTAATTATAAATTTCATTCGAAATTCGTTTGAAATTTTCTCAAAATTTCATGGTAACCACGTTTACCGGCCCCCCTTGGTAAAAATACACCATTCGGTAACCAAAACCTTGTAGGGAAGTACTTTGGGGCGGGCGGCGGTGGCCTACAGTGGCGGCGGGCACGCGGATCAAGCGATTTCTGGCCCGGCGTGGGAGTGAAACGGCTGGGTGTGGGCGATTTGCGGCGGCCTCACATTTTCGTGGCAGCCGCCGGAGTGCCGCATATTTGCCGCATGTTCGGCCCCTTTTTTGGGGCTGCCCAATTTTTATTTTATTTTTTGCAATTTTTTTTGCTATTGGGCAGCTGTGGAATGACATTTTTTTTTTCATTCCATGCTCTAAAGACGCACCGTGCCCTATTATAGAGGTGTGCTCTAAGGGAAACCCTAGCTCGTCGTCGCCCTCTCCTGAACCGTGTTTTACATTCTACTTTCTGCGACACTCCTTAGGTCGCCTGGAACTCCTACACACCAAATTTAGTTCCACAATACAGCGCGAAAACTATAATAAGATATAGGAGTAGTTGAATACAGGGTGTCAACACAAATCCTGGAGGAACCGGACGCAACCCTGACAATGATTCGTTGCACTTGCACCAATCAGCAGGAAAATTACAATAATAGGACATAGGAGTGGTTAGTGTATCTAAAGTGAAGTGTCAGACTGTCATGGATTAGTTTAAGTCCATTAGATTCTTATACATGCTGTGAAGTTGGCCACATTATTTAAGCTGGTCGAACCCATCCTTTGGGGTCACTCGAAACTTAGCACATTCCATCTCCACCCATCACCATCCTTTTGTGGAAAACCAAGAGAGCCAGAACTCATGGAGGGGGCGGCACAGACCGTTTTGAGCGATGTTGTGCAGCTGGTTGGCCAGGAGTTCCGTCAGCTCCGTGCCGTCCGCGGCGAGGTCACGGAGCTGAGGGACGAGCTGGCCACCATGAACACCCTCCTGCGCATGCAGTCTGAAGCCGACGCAAGTGGCTTGAGCCACTTCGTCCGAGAGTGGATGAAGCAAATCCGGGAGCTCGCCTACGACGCCGAGGACTGCGTCGACCTCTACCTATTCCGCATCAGCTGCCCCACGGGCGATGGCGGGTGGTACATCTGGTTCAAGACCAAGCGCCTCCTTGCAACGCTTTTCCCTCGCTATCGCCTCGCCGGTGACATCAAGTCCCTCCGTGAACGCGCCGTCGTCATCAGCGAGCGCCATGCTCGTTACGGTGTCAGCCTCGAGTTGCTGGGCCGCACTGCTTCTTCGGACCTTGTCCCTCAGGCAGCAGCGGCGTCAGCACGTGCGCTCCGCCCTGACAACGACCCCAACCAGTGGGTTGGCATCACGGCTCAGGTTGATGAACTGGCCAACAAGGTGAAGGAAGACGAGGGTGAGAACGGCAAAATGCTCAAGGTGGTCTCCATCGTGGGCTTCGGAGGGCTCGGGAAGACCACGCTGGCCATGGAGGTGTGCCGGCAGCTGGGGAGGGAGTTCCTACACCAGGCGAAAGTGTCTGTGTCGCAGACGTTCGGCAGCAAGGACCTCGTGGGATTGCTGAAGCGCGTGCTTCAGCAGATGCTGCACCTGAAGTCCGATGCAGAGCAAAAAGCACTCCGTGATAAAATTGACAGCATGGACGTACGTGACCTAGAACTCCAGCTCGGAAAGGATCTGCAGAACAACAGGTATATACCAAAAACACACGCACACACACACTATCATTATAATGCTCTTGCGTCCTCTTTTTTATCATCTTTATTCCATATGGTTTCCGTTTTTTTAATTTGGTATCTCCTCATTCTAAACTTTAAAGAATCAATTTCATAAGGTGTGGCTAGGTCTCAGTTGGCTGAGATTTAACCAAGTCTCAATCAAATGACATTACATGCAACAGAGAAAAAGAAAATAAACTGAAAAGAAAATTTTGCACGGATCTCACTGTAAGAAGCTCACGGATATAGCATCGACTTAGACTTAACGAAGTCTCGACTTAGCAAGCTGATTTTAATATTTGCTGCTTAGCATAGACCATGACAATAACATGGTGTACACACATACATACCAAAATTTCAAACCAGTTCAAAAGGTCAAATCCCCTTTGAGAGACTAAATGTACACAATATCAACAGTTGACCAGCAAAAGTACTTGACCTGAGAGTTGATAGACAAATTTGCATATATTATTCAGGTGGATAATAAAGTAAACTTTGTAGCACTCGATGATTCATAGACCTGAGAGTTGACCGGACCTGATAGTTTAGAAAAGTATATTTTTGGTCTCTCCGGTTCATTAAAACTCTACATCTGGACCCTTAAGAATTTTTGGGTGACATATGGTCCCTCGAGTCTCAAAACCCAAGACTCCACTTAATTATTTCCATCGCTCGAGTTTTCTTCTTTATTTCTGACAAAATCACCGCTGGGTTGTAGGACCGTACCAGGTCTCCTAGTTCGCCCACTGTCGAGTCCAACCCCAATCCTTGACAGTTCCAGGCTAAGATATTCATTGTTGCCGGCGGCCCTACGGTCCTGCAGGGTCTGCCGATCTAAACCACATGAAATTAGGATCGGTGTTGTACATGAAAAAGTTCCACCTTGTCGATATCTTCCAATGGTATATTATTTACATCATTCTGACAAAACTTCTAAGAAAATTCATGAACTCTATTTCACTCGGCGGATATCGCACCGTTTTTGAAATTGCTCTTAAATTGCAAGGACTCTCGGAAGGTATTCTATAATCGATAGCTTTACAACGGTGTATGACATGGGTCCTTTCGACAAACGGTTTGAAAATTGTCTTGGAAACAATATTAAAAAAATCACATGCAGTTCCTTCAGTCTAGATTGTTATAAGATGGTTCAGAAGTGCGTCTAATTACACATGTATATCAGTACTAATTTTGCATGCACTCTTCATGAACATGTACTACAATTGTTTCAAGAATTTTTTTTGCAATGAATAAATGGCTTAGCTGAAACTGTGTTTTTTTACCAACTAATTATTATTTTTTGGTATGCTAGGCAAATAAAATCAGATCTATATTACAGATTTTCTTGTAGAGTAGTAGCTTTAAATAAACATTCAATAAAATATATGTACATTTTGATGCAATGGATTTCTATTTGTGGGAACAACTCTTTCTAACTCTTGCATATCTATGATTGTAGATACCTCATTTTGATAGATGATGTATGGAGCACATCAGCCTGGGATGCAATTCGAACCAAGTTACCAAGCAACAACATGGGCAGCAGAATCATCGTGACCACTCGGGATGATAATGTGGCCAAAGAATGCAGTAGAGCTTGTAATGATTACATCCATCATATGAAGAAACTAGATGAGAAAGAGGCCAGTGAGTTGTTCCTGAGAAGAACATTTGGGTCAGTGAGTGAAGACTCTTGCCCAAAGGATTTAAAAGATGATATGGAAACCATCTTAAAAAAATGTGGTGGGCTGCCATTAGCCATTGTTAACATTGCAAGCCTTTTGTCAAGCTATAACAATTCAGAAAGGAAGAAGATGTGGGAAATAGTTGCCAGATCAATTGGTTCACAGATGGAGAGCAACCCAACCCTTGAGGGTATGAGGCAGATACTCACACTTAGCTATGACCACCTACCCCATCACCTCAAGGCTTGCATGATGTATCTTTGCATTTTCCCAGAGGATTATGTGATTTGCAAGTATCGGCTGTTGAAGCGATGGATCGCTGAAGGGCTGATTCCCAAGAGGCGAGGGATGACCCAGATGGAGCTTGCGGAAGAATGCTTCAGTGAGTTGATGAGTAGAAGCATGATTGATCAGGCCACTGATATTATCACCATGTACCAATGGAGGGAAGAGACATGTCGAGTGCATGACATAATGTTGGAGGTCATGGTGTCCAAATCCCTAGAGTCTAACTTTGTAAGCCTAGTAGGTGGGCAATATGAAGGGATGTCATATGATAGGATTCGTCGTCTTACCATACATGGCGGAGTAGAGGCAGCCCAGGAGTCATCATCAAAGAAAAGGGCACCGCACCGTGGTACAAGGAATGGCATAAAGGGGATGACTATGCAGCATGTCCGATCACTGAGCATATTTGACACTGAAGCGCCCAAGGTGCTTGCTCGGCTAGGAGAGTTTACCTTGCTAAGGGTACTTGACCTGGAAAACTGCACAGGCCTAGAAGAAGAGTACATGAAGCATATCTGCCGGATGTACCTTTTAAAGTTTTTGAGCCTGAAGGGTACAGATATCAAGGAGATGCCATCGAGAATTGGTGATCTCGAGCATTTGCAAACTCTTGATGTTCGTCAAACAAACTTGAAGGGTCTGCCAGAAACAGTCACAAAGCTAGAGAAGTTGGAGGACTTGCTGTTCTCCAGCAAACACAATAATTGGCATGGGTGGATGCTGCCCCCAGGGATCAAGAAAATGAAGGCACTACGCCACCTGAATAAAGTGGTTGTGGTATCCAACCAGAAGGCCGCTGAAGAGATTGGTGACTTAGATCAGTTGCAAGAGTTATGTGTCTACGTCGACTCAAAACAGGGGATCCATCAGAATGTTCTCGAAGAGCTTGCTTGTTCCCTGAGCAAGATAGACTCCCTCCTGTCGCTCGACATTGGCAATTTTGCTTGCCATATATGGCCTTTCCAACAGACATTGCAGTTCCTGCATATAGTAAAGTCACCACCACAGCTGCTCCGTTACCTTAGGATCTGTGGCATCATTAACAGATTGCCAGAATGGGTGGGGAAACTCAGGAATCTTATTGATTTGGACATAGCGTGGACATACCTTGGTGGTTACGATCTATTTGATGTTCTGTGTAAGTTGCCCAACTTGCAGAGGCTGAACCTGGGGACATACTTCTGGAATGGAGAAGTGATGACCATAGGCAGTAACCAGTCCTTACCAGAGCTCAAGGAACTTGTTCTGGACTATGCTCCTGAAGAACCCAAATACTATATATTTGAGGAAGGATCAATGCCAAATCTGGAAACACTTGTGCTGAATTACGGTGACCAGTGGAAGAGAACTGTGGGTATTGAGCACTTGACAAAGCTTAAAGAGGTGCAGATCAGTTGTATCAAAGAAGGTGCACTGACTGAGACACTAGAGTTTCTGAAGGTGGAGAATGAGAAGCGACGCGATTCTAAGCGCGAACAAATCAGAGTTGTAGTAAGGTAGGAGTGATCACTCTTGCTTGAAGCATGTTCAGCAGAAGCTTGCACTAGAGCAGCTAAAGCTGGACTCCCATCAAACTCAGTTTTACTTTCTCCTTTGATTGCTGATGTGGTTGGTTCTTGTCATGTAAAGCCGGAAGTCCCCGGTTATTTAATTTACCTTTAATTGTTATTCAAACATCTGGTTCCAATAAATCTGGGCCAGTTGAATTGTGACTACGGCTCCTTAAATTTCTATGTAACTTTCCAAATTCAGTTCCGGTACAAAGTATCAGCATGAACAATGGCTCAAAAACGGTAGTCGACTTGAACCTTTTGGCAATGACAGACGAACTAAAGTTAAGCGCTCGGAAGGGCTCGACTTGCCAAAACAGAAAACTTGATACACAGCTCACATTCAGGCTAAGATGCTCCTGTTCATAGTTACCGAAAAAGGCTTTAGCCCCGCTTTATATTATAAAGCAACTGCCCAAGCCAAATAGGTTTGGATAAGTTTCATAGTTCACCGCCGTTCATTAAATTGGATAAGTTTCCTCCATGCGCACACAAAATTATGCACATGCACACGCAGTTATGCTACAACAAGTTCAGTTAGCACTCCATCACGATTGTCGGGACTGTTCAACATGCGTAGGGCATCTTAGATTTAATACTTAACAAGAAAATAGACATCCAAAGGGACTGTAACACATGGTTTTGTGTTATACTTTGTTTTTTGTAGCAGTCCTATACGACGCTGACTGCAGCAAACAGTCGGTCTCTTGCACAGGAGATCGGCCCATATATAGCGGAGAAAAAAATAAGCGCGGCTGCCAGGATCAAACCTTTGACGTCGCACTAACTAACACGTACTGCCAGCGATAAATCACGAGTGGACATGGTGGCACGCGAGGATGGTATCCACACCATTCATTTCTTCGTGATTCGTGTTGTATTTACACTGCCAAAATGTATATTGGTCGTATTCCATGTATAATAGATGAGTATGGCCCACGGATCTGCACAAGTGCAGTTAAAGCCCCATTGATGACCACACTGATCCCACATTATTGATTAGAGGAGTTCTTTCAGTTATTTGCAGCGTACATTAACCACAACCTGCACCATTGCATATATTTTCTCCCCGTCCCTTATTCATTCTGCAGCTCCTCTCGCACTCATCTTGCTTCTCTTGTTTTTGCTCTTTGTTCAGGGCATGGCTAGCTAGAACTCATACATGCAGATTTAGAGTTTCTTTTCAAAAAATGGAGATGTGGAATTGTAGCTACAGCAGTTCATCTCTCTCTCTCTCTCTCTCTCT